TTGAAGGCCTTAGTTTCTTTGAAAAATGAAAAATTTTATTACATTACGCAATAGAATTATTATTTTAACTATTAAATACGTACATTTTTAATAAACTATTATTGAATTTAGAATCAACAAATGAGTAGAAAATGCTATAATAGAAGTGTGTATGTAAAAGCATATAATAAAATATATGTATATGTATATGTATGTAACAATGAGTTAGTCAATTAGAAGGTTACAATATTTATACTGGTCAGAATTAAAATTATATTATATTTGGTATAAAATTTTAAATAAGTTTTAGCATGATGTGTTCTGTTTAAATGTTTATATGCCATTATTTCTTCAATTGTTGAAAATTATATGTAATAATTATTTGGTTAAATCTTACTTTTAGTTGAAGCCAAAAATACGTTTTATCTTAAAAATTTACAATACAAGTATAAATCTAATAACTACTGATTTAAACTTTTACCTTAGAACTTCTGAATGACACTTCTTTCTGGATGATTTTTCTGGATGATACTTCCTTCTTTACAGATGAACTGTACTTCTTTCCGCCATTAAAGGCCTTCTATCCCGCTTAAAAATCGAGAAATATCGATTACGTTCGAGAATCGTAGGAAGTGTATTGCCTATTTCGCCGAGTAGTGGCGCTGTAATCTCAACTAATTTTACTATACGCGCGCATTTCAAACGAAATATTGACTTGGAATAAAGAATAAAAAACTCTGGTCTAAATCAAATACACAAAATTCATGAGAAATTCTTAAAAAAGGACGAAACTGTTCACACACTTGATAGAAAATTTTCAATACTTTAAACTGAGAAATTTTATTATATTACGTAGTAAAATTATTATTTTAATTATTAAATACATACATCCTTAATAAATTATTGACAAATTTAGTATTGGAATGCATCTTTAATAAATTATTGATGAATTTAGTATTAAAATTGTTAAAAATTAGTAGTACGTGAAGTTGAAGAATCAACAAATGAATAGAAAATGTTACAATAGAAATATTATATTATATACAGTCATATTACCAGGTCACAATATTTGTACTGTTAGAATTGAAATTAAATTTTGGTATAAAATTATAAATAACTTTTAGCTTGGTATGTTCTGTTTAAATGTTTATATACTATTATTTCTTTAATTGTTGAAAATTATATGTAATAATTATTTGGTTAAATCTTACCTTGAGTTGAAGCCAGAACTGCAAGTTTTATCTTAAAAATTCACAACGCAAACACATATCTAACAGCTACTGATTTAAATTTTTATCTGAGAACTGCTGGATGACACTTCTTTCTGAATGATTTATCTGGATAACCTTTCCTTCTTTACAGTTGAGATGTCCTTCTTTCCGCCATTAAAGGTCTACTTTCCTGCAAAAATCGATCATGAGAAATATCGATTACCTTCGAGAATCGTAGGAAGTGTATTGCATATTTTACCGCAAAGTGGCGCTGTAATCTTCAACTAATTTAAACCCAATAAGCGCGCATTTCAAACGTAATGTTAACAGTGGCGTCTGTGTTCGATGCTATCTCTACAATCAAGGAACAACCTGCATAAAAAAACCAAAAGTTAGAACAAAAATGTGTCATATGAAAGCAAACGCGTAAAAATGAAACGATAATCAGCTTCAAATTCTATTAAGAAGACGTACGAGATGATCTGCCGGTAATCGTTTGAGTGAAATCGACGATTGGGGAAAAATTGCCACGAAAAGGTTCAAATCACTACACGATCTCATTGTCGTAACACTCAATGAATCATTAAACATGTATTAATTAAATAATACTACTAATGAAGCATAAATGGAAGTAAAAGAGTGTTGAAGAAGCGACGCCATCAAAGAGACGCTACAGATAGATTAGAAAAGATTACGAAGCTAACGCGACGTAATACGTGTTGTTATCACGAGATTCGACTGCCGAATGACTCTTCGCGACAATTTAGAACATGGAAGGGGATGAGGTGATTTTGAACGAACAGACTCGAAAATTAATAACAAGAGTCTTACATACACATATAAGCGTTATGTTTGTTTTGAACTACGAGTTTCAAGCTTTCTACGCCTTACTTTATCTAAGAAATGAAAAATTCTACTATATTACACAGTAAAATTATTATTTCAGTTATTAAATACGTACATTTTTAATAAATTATTGCTGAGTTTAATATTAGAATTGTTAAGAATTACGCAGCATGTAGCTAAAGAATTAACATATAAGTAGAAAATGTTATAACAGAAGTATGTATGTAAAAGCATATATAATGAAACACATATATACAATACATAATAATGTCAATTATTAAAATAACAGTGTCAATGTTAGTCAATTACAAGGTTACAATATCTCTACTGGTTAGAATTAAAATTAAATTTTGATATAAAATTATAAATAACTTTTGGCATAGTATATACTGTTTAAATGTTATGCTGTATGCTATTATTTCTTTAATTATTGAAAATTATATATAATATTATAAATTATTAAAATATATAATATATAAATTATAAATTATAATATTATAATTATTATTTGATTAAATTTACTTTAGGGAACTAAAAGGGAACTATACACTTTTTTGGTAATCAAATCTTCAGAAGCAACTTAGTAAAAAATTACATCCGAGGGGAATAAAATAATACACTAGAGTAAGAAATGCTAAAATATGCAAAAAAAAAGAAGAATCTAATGCAAAAATTTTCAAAGTATTACTCGCAATTATAAAATAAATTTACGTTGATAAGAATGTAATAATAATACTTGTAAATACGTTTGTTCTTCAATTATTCTAAAATGATATGTAATATTAAAATATTCAAGAGAGAAGGATCTAATATAAAAATTTGCTACCAACTATATGGAAAAAGAAAGATACAGCCATGCATATTAATATGTTATAAAATTATTCATTGATCGAGGATTAATAGTTTTATAATATACATAGGATAACGTACATTGTGTACAGCATGCACGTAATAATCTTAAAATAATCTTTTAAATATATCATAAATCTTCCAATAAATTAGTTGACGCTCGAAATCCAAACTCAAGCAAATGATCGTTTTAGTTAAATTCTGATAGTAATAATGATTGAATTAAAAAATTTTTTGAATCAAGTTGGTTCAATTTGTTTCCATGTATACTATCCTTCATCAGTATTATCGTGTTCCCAGTGATTCGTCCATCATTTTGTGAAAGTTCTACTTTTTTTTAACTGATACATTTTTCCCACTTTCCAAACTGGCATTCTATTTGTTTAATTGGTATATTTTGTAAAAGAATATCGTACTGATAATCAGAAAATTATTTCTTCCTATGTGAAATATATTTACAGCTTAATCATACACACATAATTACCAATCACGTGCAACTCTGAGGCTGTTCAAGGTGCTGACACTCAAGTTGCCTATTGCCAGTCTAATTGCTACTAAACTATCCTGATTATATACTGCATATGTCATATCTGCATTTTATGTATATATATATCGCAACACTATTGATCCTCAGTGAATAGTTGCACGCACGATCCGATCAGATTCAACTCATTGTCAGTAGCATATTTCCTATTTTATGTACTAGGCAAATTTTTATATCGGATTCCCCCTTTATTGAATATTTCATCTCTCATATTAAATTTTTTCTTATATGGAATTTATTAGCTTTCATAAATTTCTCTTTTATTGAATATTTTAACTTTCCAAGTATTACAATATATGACAATTAAAGGAAGAATATTATTGTACTTATTATATTTATTTCACAATGGCGAACAATAAAAAGCAAATTTTTATACTGAATTCTTCTCTTATGTCAAATGCCATTCCCATCGAATATTTCAGCTTTCTAAGTTACTCTAGCGTATAATAATTGAAGAGAGCAAATGTTATTATGATAATTTCATCAACGATGGAAATCTGTTTTACAACTTGTACACTCAAATCATCATCGTCCCAAGATTAACTTAACCAATTCAATGTGCAGCACACATCAGTATACATGCACACACGTCCATATATTCCTCAAAGTCGTCAATATCCAAACAACTTCGGTATACACATCCTGGAGTCTGAATCCCCAAGTCGAACAGCCTCACTCGCGCCCTTATCGCTCTGCGGATTCGCGCAGGAATACTTTATCGCGGTCGATTTCTGAACGCGTTACATAAACATAACTGCAGGTCCTCGAATAAATCACTCAACGAGAACGCTACTGGCTTACGATGACAGGCTTGTTCGCAATATCGCGATCCGAGGCAAGAATAACACGCTTGAAAGGGGGAAAGAGAGGCAAAAATCCATAAGAACGATGCAGGAATGGAGGGAAGGGTGGTTGGCAGTCGAAGAAAATTCCTTCAAGGCGGAAAGCAGCTTTTATCTGTCGGTCGTTGAACTTTCGTGCTTTCACTAATTGCGTTAACGATTTTCTAGGGGCGACACATCATTGTGTCGTAATTATTGAATTATACGTTTATTATTGAACTAATACTTCTGACGAATCTCGAAGAAACTTGACGGAGAATGAAAACTTCGAATAGACTTGAAGGAAACGTAAATTTTAGATTTCGAACTAAATTTATTAAATTGAACTTGTTCATACCAGATAAATCTTTAAATACAGGGAACGAGTGTATAAAATGTTATTATCATAAATTCTTATTCTTATTTGTATGTTGTAATCATTATACGCACTAGATAGATGTATAGATTTTTGTAAGATTGTGTTTTCGGTTTGGTAAATATTTTAGGACGTTCTTTAATTAAGGTTCATAAAATGTTAACTATTAGGAGAAATAATAAAATTTCAAGTCGTCAGATTGAACATACACTGGCTACTATGAAACAATTTCGTAATTACAACGATTAAAATTTTTTGTTAATGAGTTATTGATAAATTCATAGTCAATTTTTGAAGGTATGTATTTTTTAATTTAAATCTTTCACATGAATGGCAGGTTGTTTTCTCTACTAATATAGTATATTTTTCAAAAATGTTGATATTACTAGCCTGTTATGTCGAAGTTTTATAAAAACTGCATTGGATCTGATACAAAATCTATTTTTTTTTTTTTTTT